ATATGAATACAGAGCTTTGAGAGTGCCTTGATCCCTTGATTCTCTTCCATAGCAGCTTTTTATGTCTTGATGTACATCTGATTTGGTCTTGATTACTTGATTCGATCCTGATATGCTTGTTTCATTTATCGAGCCGAAAACAGAACTAACATTTCCACTTTAAAAGAATACATTGTTTAGCATAGACTTCACACACCAATCCTTACCATTAGAATAGAGAATAGATGTTCATTTACTCCTCTAATGTTCTAAAGGTTGAGCCACTCCTCTCTTAATTTAAGAGCCACGCCTATTCAACATGGCGTCATCTCATGATGGAGAGTCTTCATATTTCAGTTACTTGGATGTCTTTTTATTAGGAGTCTTCATTCTCGTCCTTTTCCTGATAGTTAGAAAGTTTAGGAGGAGAGCAAGAGGAGATGATGAGAGGGTTAAAAAGCTGCAAATTAATCCAGTGTAAGTGAACAATCAAAAGTGATGATGTGTATACATGCATGTACATGTACATGTATCCTTACATGTGTGGGTAATGTGTTTTATGTAGACATACACCTACACGGTTTTACATGTAGGTTTTGTTTTAATTTCCTTTTTTGAGTGTTTCAAATTCTGTGCTTTGGATCAAAAAATAAAAGTCATGCCACATCATGGCAAGGTTTCATGTATGACATACCGTAGGTCGAGATATATTCGCGGCTGCAATTCTTCCATGCCTACTTGTAATTGACCAATCAGATTGCGTTATACGAGGTAAATATAATTGCTTATTTACCTCACGGAGGTAAATATAGCCAACTTATTAAAGTCGCCAAACAGGTTTTCTTAGTTATTTACCTCGCTGACAGCCCGGGAGCAAGCAGGTTTCTAATTATTTACCTCGAAGCATAGCTATGGCGTCTGGAGTAATCATTTTTAGCAGAGAAAGCAGCAAAGAACATCGAAAAGAAAGAAATAGAGCCTCAAAAGCATTGGGCCATGTGATAAACTTCTTAATGGGTGAAGTGGAATTGGAAAGGTGTGTTCTGGGTGTGTTTTACTGTACACACATGGTGCGAGTGGAGAAGAGATTTTCCCGTTTCTTTTAAAAAGATACAAAGAAGTAAAGAGGCCTTGTGCTTTTATACAGCCTTGCTAATCATGGGCAGTTTCTTAGCTACAGATTTGGCATGGTAGAAGTCTGTTATACACCTCGGTCTCAGTTGCTATGGGTTTATTTACCTTGGGACTGCGTCCCTGTGTAAATAAATCCCATAGAAACCTCGACCTCGGTGTATAACCTATACTTATTCGCGGTCATAAAAAATTCAATTAAAAACCATGGAAACTGTTAGAGTGTTGCTATGACAATAAGACCACGTGTTTAGTGTTCAGCTATTCATCTAATCTTTAGCAGCTATAGACCCCCTAGGTGCTAAGACTGTTTTGAATGAATTATTTACGGCAGCCACCCACAAATGAAATTACTGACTGCAAGAAGCTCTCCACATCAAAGGCAGATCAAAGCCCAAGGTGCCGAAATGAAGCATAGCAAGAAAACTATGCTGTAGCAAGAGTTACCTGGTCTATATGATGTAGTCTGGCCTCCATACTTTCCATGAATGCTGCTTGTAAGCCTGTAGTACCTTGTAGCGCTCAGAAAAATGGCCAGGCGGTGTCACCGCCTTTGATTTTCTTTTGATCTCGAGGCCTTCTTGCCATCAGTAATTTACATCGTGGGTGGATGCCGTATAGGAAAATTTTATTTATTATGAATGAATATCATTATTGTAATCATATTCATTGAAAATAATCTTATCACCTAGGGGGTCTATAGTGGAGCCATTCACCAATAGCGAGTCCTTCTCTATCTGTTAACTTCTTGTATGGACCGCTACCTCAGAGCTTTTTTAGCCTCTTTGCTGCAAATTGTTGCTGGTCGACGTGCTGGTGATAATAAACCCCGCCCAAGTCAATAAACACTAACTAGAATGGGTGGAGAATCCCAAAATACAGCAAGGCACTAGTTCTGAAAATAACCGGTAAAGCAGCTCCAAAGAGCCCCAGGCTTACTGACACAAGAAGAACAACAGCTCAATAACACTGCAGCAAGGTGCTTTTCTTCACTATTGCGCTGTTTTTAATTAAAATAACACCTCGGTTCCCATGGTTTTTAATTGAAATTTTTTTATGACCGCGAATAATTGCAGCCATGAATATATCCCGACCTATGGTATGTACACGCTGTACGTTGTATTTGACCCTATTTGTTCAATATTACAGCAATATTTTAGAGATAAAGTTTTAATATTAATTATGACAAGTTTATAATTCTGCTCACGTGATCTACGACACTGGTCTTTAAACCTTGTCACTTGTGGAATTCCAATCTCACACATACTGCATATGCTTGTGAGATTTTAAATTTTTGTTCTTTGAGTCTGGCTTTTGAAATTTGATGAATTTAACATGAGCACAAAAATTAAAAGACAATTTGAAATTTTCAATGGATCAAGTCTTTAATGATTGTTTGCCGATTTCTCTTTTTCTCTATTAGTATAAAACAGATTTCTTCTCCTGTTTATTCCTCCTCACTGAGTACGTCTGGTAGTTTTATTGATAAAATGAAAACCCGAAAGAAAAGAGTATTGATTCTGTATGGGTCTCAAACTGGCACTGGGGAAGAGTTCTCTAATAGATTAGCAAAGGACTCATCTCGTTTAGGACTACCAGCCATGACCTTTGACCCTGAGGACTGCACTGACTGGGTAAGGATCTAAATGTAATTAATCATTAATTTGTTTGACATTACTCCAATGTTTTGTACATGCATTGGGTTGTACATGTATGTAGAAAACTTTTAGAAAAGTTTTGGCTTTTAAAAGTTGATGTGGCCAGGGTATCATAAGGTAGTGGGAAAGGAGGAAATCCCCCTCTACTCTAAGTTCCCCCCCCCACTTTATGTTCCCCCCTAAAATACTGTATAGCTCAAAACTTTTAAGGGTAAAAACTTCTATGAATGAGTGAAAAGAGAAAAATTCGCGAATAAAACTTTTGTGACTGGCCCAGGTCCATTGCTTTGAGGGTGTGGCTAGCAGCTCTATACTTGAAGATTGGGAGAGCTCCCACAGCATCAGGCAAATGAAAAGCATGACTGCAAGAGGGTTTGGTCTTCTTTCTTCGAAGTACAGCTAATAGAGGCCATTTTAAGACACATGTGCTTACTTAATTAAGGCAGCTACATGTATATTATAGCATAGAGTAAGCCATAGATAATATGACCACATCCTTTGAATTTTCATAATGAAAACTTTTGCGTTTGAGGAGGCCTAAATTGCAAAATTTTCAAAAGTTTTCATCCTCAAAAGTTTTAAGCTATACGGTAGTTTGTGTGAATTTAATAAATGGGTTCATACTTGCTATAATTCACTGTTCATTACACAATTGAAATAAACTAGCAATCATGTGTATAATAGCTTACACCTGCACCGACAAAACTAACTTCTACTTGATTAGTGCAATATCACAAAATAAAATCCCTAAAATATGTGATGTTACTGCTAATTTTCATCATGTCCCCCCTTCTTGTCACCTTATGCCATATATAAAGTTTGAGCTTATTTTTGTCAAAATTTTTTGGCAGCTTCAATGTACTTCAAGTTATTATTTGTTACTGCATACACATGTACATGTACATGTAGCTCTAAATTTTTGTTAGTCAAGAAGTTCATCAAATTTGTTAGGCATTTTTTGATGAAATTTTTGACTGACAAAATTTTTGCTCCACGTGGGTGCATGGCATGCGGATTTATAACATAAATGACAAAAATTTTATTGATGAAAATTAATTTCAACAAGAAATTAACGTTTTTACAAAAGTTTTGACTGACGAAAATTTGGAGTTAATACAGTACTACATTCTAATTATATTCTCTCTCTCATAAAGTTTGGGTTCATTCCACAAAATTTTTAGGCATTTAGTTTCAAGAAAGCATGAATTATAGACTCTAAAATATCACTATAGTTTCAGATACATATTGATGTCTTTATGTTACATGCATGTACATGTACATGTAGATGTAGAATGTTTAGCAGATTTTGATGATTTTTTAAATCATGGGATCAATTAAAACAACACATGTACATGTTCAGACCTTTTTTGCAAATTTTTGAATTGAAATATACATGTATTTAGTGAAGAATAATAGTGCCCCAATCCGCTGCTTAGGAGCTGTGATTATTTGATTATTATCAATATTACCAATATCTCATGTTGTTGTGGTTAAGTAATTATTGTACTACATGTACTTTATTATTATATTAGGATGACCTTACTAGAGTAGGACAGGAAGTTGAAGGATCACTTGTTATTTTTGTAATGGCCACTTATGGAGAGGGAGACCCAACTGATAATGCTCAGGAATTTTTTGACTGGTTAAAAGAAACTACTGATAATCTTCAAGGACTAAAATATACAGTTAGCTCATCATTTTTAATTACATATACATGTACATAAGTAGTGTAGAATGATGCATAATTACATGCACTCAAATTACATGTACATGTACATGTTATTGCATCATTCTGTATTAGTATTGTTCATTGCTAAGCTATTGAGTGGTTGGGCTAGCACTGTTTGTATGTAGTGCATGTATTCTTTTAGCTTTTTTTATGAAGTTTAAATGTTGTTTTTAATGCACCAATGGTGTTGTGTTTATTAGTGCTGGTATCATTTATTTAACATCATTGCTTTACCTTTGGTGTGCCACTGGAGCTTATAGGGAGAACCTCAGTTTTTGTTAAAAATTAGAAAATGAAATTTGACAGTTGAAATGCTGTGTTAATGCTTAGAAGTGACTCAGAACAGTTATGAAAGCAAATTTGGTTGAATGAATTATTACAGCTATACTATAATGTCACATATACTATAGTTACTGTAAGATCAAAGGCACCACCGGATGGTATATTACGCATATACACCCCCATGCCCTTGATATACACCCCCGCACTTGATATACACCTCCTGAGTGCGCATGCGCAGTTACTTAAGGAAAGGAGTCACATGCTGGTCTGTCATGGCTTCTGCTAAGAAGAGGAGAGTGTCTTTATTATTGAAAGGTCGTGCTAAGAGGTCTCAGATCGAGGAAGAATGCTTTGATGAGGAAGAAATGGAGCGTTTTTGTATTAACACAACGTCTCCTGAAGTAAAGAGGCTACAATGTAAAAAAGTACCAAAGAACATGGCAAAGACGACTGAATGAGCATTGAAGGCTTTTGATGACTGGAGAAAATGCAGAGCTGAAAGAGAAGAAAACGCTCCACAAGAAGACATTTTTTTGAGTGGAGACAAAGAAAGACTATTGTACTGGCTGAGTCGTTTCTTCATAGAAGTGAGAAAGGGAGATGGAAGGGAGTATTGCCCTAGAAGCCTTTTGTGCCTTCTTTCTGGTATACAGGGTCACATTGCAATAAAAATACATACAGATGATGAATTCAAGGGCCTCCATCAGTTAATGGATAATTTATTGAAAGACCTACACTCTAAGGGCATTAGTACAACAAGAAGACAGGCTGAGATCATTACTCCATTTGAAGAGCACCAGTTGTGGATCAATGGCGCTCTTGGTACAGATAGTCCTGACGCTCTACTAAATGCCGTATTTTTTACAACGGGCTAAATTTTGCTCTGAGGGGAGGGAGTGAACATAGAGAGCTGTCTCTATCACAATTTTCATTTGGTCAGGAGAGAGATCCACTACAACCAGATAAGATGATTGATTACGTGGAATATACTGAGAAGGGCTCTAAAAATTGTCCTGGTGGCAGTAAACAGTTGAATCTAGACAACAAAATAGTGAAGCACTATTCTCAGCCTGAGCTTGGTACACATTGCCACATATATCTGCTAAAGTTATATATCTCTAAGCTACCACCCCAATGCTATGAGAAAGACTTTTTTTATTGTAGACCACTTACCAAGATAATTGATGACAATTTATAGTATTGTTCAGTACCTTTGGGGCACAATTCGTTAGACAAACGACTTAAACAAATTTATACAACTGCCAGTATTGATTCTGAAGGAAAGTCCAACCATAGTCTAAGGGCAACTTCAATATCAAGGATGTATTACGCAGAGGTCCCAGAAAAGGCAATAATGGAGCATTCAGGACACCTTTCAATATCTGGTGTTCGTTCTTATGAAAGGACCTCCACTGCTCAAGTAAAAAGTATCTGCCAGTCTCTAACTACAAATGTTCCTCCAAATAATTCAAGTACATGTAACTTTTCATTATTTTTAACTTACCCTTTAAAAGTAGACCCTACAGCTAATGAAAGTATAGTAGACTCTTTAGAATTTACGGACATTCGACAGCCTCATAAGTGCTTTTTTAGTACTGTCTACCAATTTTTCTAACACACTTTATGTAGAACTCACTGAAGAGCCAATTAAAGATGATGTAAAAGTTAGTAAAGATGCCCATCAAAAGCTCAAATTTCAAGATCTCAAAGAGTGTACGATTAATTTTAGCTTTAACTTTGACAAAAAAATAACAATTATATTGATACATTAAATACAAATCTTAATTGGAACACTGTAATAATAATATTGCAATAATAATATTGAAAGACACAGGAGGGTAGATCAACGTCGCGATACTTGTGAGCGTTTTGATCTTACAGTAACTATAGAATATATCATATGTACCATACCTTCTCGGTGTACGTGTATATCAATAATATGAGACCCTCGTCCCTTGATATCTTCCCTCGGCTTTGCCTCGAGAAGATATCTTGGGACTCGGGTCTCATATTACTAATATAGACCTCAAAGGTATGGTATATATCAGACCTGGGGTCAATTACAAAAGTTCAATTACAATTACGCATTCAATTACACTCCTTTTGCAAGAATAGGCTCAATTACAATTACAATTACACCATGATAGTGTAATTTCAATTACATTTCAATTACAATTACAATTTGATGTACATGTATTGTAACAACATACTTTGCAGTGCTTATACTGTGTCTTAAAAAGAAGTTATTTTGGTACTTTACAGTATCAAAAACACCCAAAGATACCAAAGTACATAAAGAACATTTCTTTGTGCATCTGAAGTTTCTGTAGCTAGGTAACTCTAATATATTTGAAACTTCAATTACATAAGCTGAAGCTCAATTACAATTACAATTACGTAATTGTAATTGTAATTGACCCTTCAATTACAATTACAATTGTAATTGACCCCAGGTCTGGTATATATATTACATATCACACTGCTCTACATAATTTATACTTAAATTAATCAAAATGAATTAATCAAAAATAAAAGCTAGCATTGTACATGTACATATATATACCAACTACCAAGATAAAGAAACAGTAATTATCACACACACATACACTTCACTACTTAACATAAATCTCATAATAACTAACAGGACTGTCTTCATCACCAAAATTAGCACACACACTCAACTCAATATAGTCAGTAGTGGTATTGCTACCATAGTCTCTGTGAAACCATGGGATACCAGGAGCATTACAACAAGCCGTTTCAAGAGAGCGGCAACCTTGACCATCCCATAGTGGATCAGATGTGTAGAGAATCTGTGATGGACTACTATTAGGATTACCTGATTCACAGAAGTAGTTGTTACCAATAGAAGCTGGCACAGTTGCAGAACTCCCAGTATTACAAGGACATGAACTTGATGAAGAACTTAATTCACTTTGACCAGCAAGTAGTGACCAGACATGTTGCTGAGAAGAACCTCGAGTGATGCTAACACCTTCAAAATCAATAGAACCAAATAGATATCCTGTTACTCTACCACACACCTGAGAATAACTTATATTATGAGATGGGAACTGAACTGATACACAACCATTTTGTCGTATCTGTTTACCACAAGCTCTAACTCCTCCTGACTGGTACAGACCAAACCCAGAAGGACAGCTCTGTGTAGCATCAGTCATATCCAGATATGCTAGTCTTGTCCATCCACCAGTAGAGCTACACAACTCCTCCATATTACAGTAAGCAGTATAAGTAGAACTAGTATTTGAGAGTAGA